AGGAAATTTTTTGGGTTAGGGGCGGGTTGGTCGCGGGAACTTCAGGTATGGCATTGCTGCAAATGATGTGGGATGAGGATGGAAAGGGCTACGTGAAAGGGGCTCACCTCTCTAGCTGCTCACTCGAAATGAAATGGGACAGTCAGATGAGGGTTGGCAAGGGAAGGGTAGTGTTACTTTATACCTTGCGATTTAGCGTATGTCACGTAGCTTTCATTTTCTCATCTCACTATGTAGCGAGCAATTCCATGGCCGTTCGCAGTTCTTCTCTGTTGTTAATTTGTGGGCTTCTTCTTCGTATTTCCAATGCCTCCTTTATCTTCCTCTCCACCGGGTCACAACGTTCCTGTGAATCACGCGGACTTTGATTTCAGGTGGATCTTCATGAGTGTGGTGCAAAGAACGGTGTTCCGAAAAGACGTAAGGTGTCGGTCAGACTCTGCGATTGCATCGCGCGATGCAGTCGCTCTGCCTAGAGCGATTGGCATCGCTCCAAAGTGCGAGCGACGGGAGATTTACCCGAGCGGCGCCGTGTGTATCGGTCGTCGGCGGGGTAAATCTCCCGTCGCTCGCACTTTGGAGCGATGCCAATCGCTCTAGGCAGAGCGACTGCATCGCGCGATACAATCGCAGAGTCTTACCGAAATCTAAAGCTTACACAAGCAAGTGCGGCGATTGACGGGGACCACCCGGTTTTGCAGAATCTGCACATTCACCTGAACAGTCGGGGAGAACCTCGACAGGAATAAATTGTATCATATTTTTTCATCACTTGAGGTTTTCGCGCCAGTACACTACCCGGCCAATCTCCTATCATGAAAATTACCACTGCCCACCACTGTTGACCAAGGCCAACCGTTCGTTGGGATTCTATCAGGAGGAGGGCGTTTTTATGGAAGGCGAACAGGGCTCGTAGAAGAGAGGCAGTCTTTCAGGATTGGAGCGGTTTTCACGAAACTGCAGCGACAATGGTACAGGGCGAAGCGTTAATATGGCCACAGTATTGAGGTTCGAAAAGAGCAAATAATAATAACGGGCGGAACCAGATTGATCCGTCAGATCCGCGTCAGATTGAATGTAATTTTATGATTTCACTGACTAAGCTTTCACTAACTTTACTTGGTGAAGGGCGGTTCATCCAATCCGAAATGCGATTTCTGTCTCACACGCCGTCGGTCAGATTCTGCAAGAGCTGCTGTATCCGAAAATTGCGTCATCAACCTTTCATAGGGCTATCGAAGTACTTTTGATGCCTGGAGGTGTCTGTGAGTATTGCGTATGCAACCTGTCTCAGAAAGGACCATGACGAAGTTGGCCACAGCTTCGACAGTATGAGGAAAAACGAATAGAAGAGTGCGAAGAGTTGTGTGTAACCAGCTTGTGAGTAGAATACAACATACAGACCCATAAACTGAAAGCCTCCTTGGTTGGGGGGGGGGAACCGTATTTTGAAAATATCGGAGATCTCCTGGCACGGTGCGGCCAGAAAAGGCAAGCAAGTCTGCTGGAAGTTGTCGTGCAAACGCAGCAGAACTAATGGAATATTTTAGTTACCCGATCACTGCATGTCCTACGTACACTTAACTGACACACTCTCATGAGTCGATTGGAGGGACCTGTTTGGAGGAAGCGGTGTATATCAAGGGGCGTTGCTTAGTACGCGAGCGACCGGGGATCAAATCTTGAGCCGTGAGTCGTCGGGGCCAACCAAGCATTCCATACCTCCGGAGCAGGTGAATCAGTAACGGACTTGTCACTTGATTGGAGTCAAATCATATTCAAAGGGCCAACTCTGAATGGAAGTACAATGCGCAATTCCGAGACGGAATTGATTAAGAAAAAGTTTCCTTTATTCTAGGAATCAGAGCGTGTGATCAGAATGGATTGGAGGCCAGCCGACAAGGTATCTGTTACCTAAGCAACCGTCCCTATCATGGTGGACTTTTGTTCTCCTCTTCCTCAAAGGCAAACCCCGGGATTAGCCCGACTAGTAGGAAGGATACCGCGAGGGAAATTGTAAGGTCCGTACCTACCTAGATCACTTCCAACTTGGTCGCGAAAATTGCGCGGTTAGGGCGCTAATCCTTACGGGCCTCCAACCATCGAACGCTTCCCACCCACCGCGAGATGTGGTGAGATCAGCGTGCTCTCTCAAACGACGTTCTCTCTCGCGTGTTTTGTCCTTCTTTGATCGCCCTGTCTCGCCATCGTACCACATCCGACCTTTTTGAAGGTTAAGGCCTTAATTTCAGCGTTCCCAAAGAGTTCTCTTGCTTTCCTCTCCACTTTCAGGTCGTTCCGCAGCTAAGCTATCACTGCGAAGCGCTCTTAGCACCAGTTTAATTCCGGGGTTTGCCTTTAAAGGAAGCGATTACGATAAGGAATTTTCGCATCGGGGGAGAACCTGCGCCACACGGAGCAATTACTTGGCTGCCAAGGAAGCGATGTGTGGCGCTTCCACGGCGAAAGGTGCTGTGGTTGCTGAGCAGGACCTCCGCAGCACTCCGCCCCCAGCAGCGTTACGCCCACTAGTTCAGTTGATGACTTGGGCGAGCTGTTTGCTGTTGGCTTTTCATTTTGGATGATCATTTCCCTTCTAGCGGCTGTATCTTCCAACTTGCCCACGTATGCCTTATCAATCAAAACACTATGCTTGTTGGCATGATGGCGGCTATCGGGGTTAACACGTCCGAACAACGTCGTTCTTTACCGTCGCTCATCCATGGTCGAAAATGAAAGGGCAATCAAAGGGGTACTATTTTGCTTATTTTTGACGGATTTCTTTGCTTTTTTCGCCATTGGCGTACTATTGAGACCCCCACGTCCCCTCTAAACCCCTTCGAGATCTATCAAAATCGCTGCCTTCAACTCCAATACTGATCGCTCTGCGATTCCTGCGACTTCCTCTAGTTCTTGGTGTCGAATTCTCATCTACTACAGTCTCTGCCATTTGAACTGTTAACGGTAAATTCGATCCATCAGATGTATTATTGCTGTCGTTGAGGAAAATCATATGCTAATCAGCCCAACTAACGAAAGCAATGGGAATTGCTCGATTTTCTTGAAAAGGTAAAAAAATTTCTTGTAAGTCTGAGTGAATTCAATTGCTGTTGATATTACCAAAAGCAGTGAGGTGACAGTTCTTTCTACAAGAAGCACGTTTACTGCTTAAGATCTTATTATTTATTGCCATTCCCTAACCAACTGCAAACCACCTCGGCCACGTGGTCACCCTTTGTCGGTGGGAGAAACCTCGTTGAAGCCTGGTCCTCGCTGACCCTTGGCGCCCTTGTCTGGTAAATTTACAGCTACCTCTAGGTTAACTTCGTGTGCTCAAAGTCCTCTGCACTTTTCTCAGCCTAGAATTTTTCCTAAGAATAAAATCCATAGCATAACACGTTTGTCAAGCTAGAATCAGAAAATTAGAAGGTTGTTTTGAATGTTTGGGAACAGGCGTCGATGGGCACAATGTAGTTTTGGTATCACATGAGGTTACCAATTTGAAAAATCTGTTCCGATGCTCGGAGTAGGGAAGCGATTGTCCGACCAAACTGTGCACCGCGTAAACCAAAACGTCATTTCTGCCTCATGTGACGGCCGTTGTTGGCCGGTGCTGTTGTTTTTGAATTGTTGCTAAAAAAAACAAGAACATTGAGGAATGGGGCAAGTGCCGAAGCTACTGTTGTCAATTAAGTTTGGCACCTAGACATTCTTGCGCTGACCAATCTCTTAAACCATAAGCAGAGTTTTTGCTCCAGAAAAGGCTGCTTCTGTTTTCAGAATAAATTTTGACTAAATGACAGCGGTGGTGGCGTTGCTGTCATAAAGGGGGGAGGCAGGACGCACATGGAGGGAGTAGGGCATAACTGGTTGCACATTCTGCATTGTCTAACCCAAAGCCAAGAAGGGATACCAGCCTGAACTCCAAAAAACTCAGTTTTTCCAAGGGATAAAATCTTAGTGGGCTTTTCAAGGGTAAGCTTCGGGTAGAATGAGTGGGCAGAAGCGATCAACTATGAAGTTTAGAGTGGGCAGTGATCTAAAAACAAAAAGAAGTCAAAGAAACGCCCAGTTACATCCCGAACTCCATTCCAGCCGTATCCATCTCGAGATGGAAAAGGTATAGTTTTGGACGAGCTTCTACGAACGGATAGCCAAGCTGCTCCAGTGCCAGTTGTTGGCTTCAGGCCGGAATCGATGCAGGCGTAGAACTCTGGCGCAAGTATAAATGGGTCTGGGATAAGACGAAGTGAGAGGAGAAGAGAGAAGAAAGTAAAAAGGATGAAATTCCTGTCCCAGTGAGCTCTTAGGAAATAGGTTCAACGACCCGTCACGCCACGGAAGGGGTGCTCGACATTAAGGCGTAGTGCAACACTGCTACAGCTGCGGTCACGCTCTTTTCTGACGATGAGCCCAGCGTGGCAGCGACGGCGGAAGGCGGGACTTACGGATGAGGTGTGCCTTGCGGGAGGAACGAACTTCCAACGCGTTTTTCGCTCACTTTCAAGCCCCAAAGGGGGCATTACATCAATGCTCGTCCGACCCTCTATCGCGATCGGAATGACCGGTGAGTGCACCTAATCCGGAGCGTGCCTTTGAGCAGGTTGCAGATGTGTGTTCTCCAAACGGCTACTCGACATTACGACCTCCAAATTGAACACCATACTTGACACCCCTGCGAACATCACTTGGAAACTGGATTCCCAAGTATAGCCAGTCCAGTCATTGGCCTGGCCATTTGAAGCTGTTCTGGCTCAATCCTTAAGCAAAATCACACCGCAATTAAAATTTTTGAAACACAGAGAAGTGAAGCTGCAATATTTATTCGACTCAACAAAATAGATGAGCGGTGAAACCTTGTGAACATTATCATGGCGAACACAACGCTACAGTTACATTCTTGAACTCGCTTCTGTTTGCGAGGATTACTCGTTTGAGAGAGTTCATCTAGAAAATAAGCTCAGTAAGAGAAATACTGCGAGATCTTTTACGTTTCTTACCAGGTTACAGTTGGTTTCGGCAACGAGGTACTCGAGTCCAAAATATCCGTTGCTATTTATGACGTTCCAGGACGTAGATTGCACGCAACCGATCTGACCGAACATAGGTGTCAGCTAAATTGAATTCATTATTGAACGGATAGAAAAGTGAGAAAAAAATGCTTCATGTATTTTTTCTCCCACTCACAATTTTGTTGTAAAAATCAGAGTACGTTCCGTTCTGGGCCGAATTCCATGTCAGAGTGGAAATAACCTTAACAAGTGCCATGGAATTTCCTTGCACTTTTCCAGTTGCTCCATCTGCACAGCCCTAAAAAACCGAATCATTTCGGTAGATATTTCGCCTAGCATCGGCAGCTAATCGTTTACATTATGTACCGGTGTTGTTGTTGTTGTTGTTGTTGTTGTTGTTGTTGTTGTTGTTGTTGTTGTTGTTGTTGTTGTTGTTGTTGTTGTTGTTGTTGTTGTTGTTGTTGTTGTTGTTGTTGTTGTTGTTGTTGTTGTTGTTGTTGTTGTTGTTGTTGTTGTTGTTGTTGTTGTTGTTGTTGTTGTTGTTGTTGTTGTTGTTGTTGTTGTTGTTGTTGTTGTTGTTGTTGTTGTTGTTGTTGTTGTTGTTGTTGTTGTTGTTGTTGTTGTTGTTGTTGTTGTTGTTGTTGTTGTTGTTGGGGTTGTCGTTGTCGTTGTCGTTGACGGCGGAGGGAGGCATTGTTCGGAAACGTTCATGAACATCGAAATTGCATCGATTTCTTGAGTGGCACTGCTCACCTGTAGAAGTGTGCAATAATGTCAGTCCTTGTGGTTCAAGGATAAGTTTATAAAATATTTTCAAGAACATAATCGCGTAAACGCGTCCATTCGTACCAGATTACAGCTGGTGTTTTGCATTGTGTAGAAGTAACAATAAACCTCCGTCCTGGTTCAAGGCGAAGGAAAGCTTCACGCATCCGAACTGACCGAGCAAAGGTTTTAGCTGAATTAAGTTCATCACCAGTTTTAAGATTGAAAAATGAGCTAGTTTACTTCACTATTTTAGAGGCTTTTGACTCACAATTTGGTTGACAAAGTTCTGAGAAGCAACAGAAACAACGCTAACAAATGCTGTGGAATCTCCTCGTACTGTTCCAGTTGTTCCGTTTTCACACTTCTAAAAAATTGATTTATGTGAGTAGAAAGTTCAACTAACCATGGAATTGACAGCAATTGAATTACGCTTTCCAATGGTGATGTTGTCGTTGTCGTTGCCAACGCGGCCGTTGTTGTCGTTGGTGTTGTTGTTGTTGTTGTTGGGGTTGTTGTTGTTGTTGTTGTTGTTGGGGTTGTCGTTGTCGTTGTCGTTGACGGCGGAGGGAGGCATTGTTCGGAAACGTTCATGAACATCGAAATTGCATCGATTTCTTGAGTGGCACTGCTCACCTGTAGAAGTGTGCAATAATGTCAGTCCTTGTGGTTCAAGGATAAGTTTATAAAATATTTTCAAGAACATAATCGCGTAAACGCGTCCATTCGTACCAGATTACAGCTGGTGTTTTGCATTGTGTAGATGAACAATAAACCTCCGTCCTGGTTCAAGGCGAAGGAAAGCTTCACGCATCCGAACTGACCGAGCAAAGGTTTTAGCTGAATTAAGTTCATCACCAGTTTTAAGATTGAAAAATGAGCTAGTTTACTTCACTATTTTAGAGGCTTTTGACTCACAATTTGGTTGACAAAGTTCTGAGAAGCAACAGAAACAACGCTAACAAATGCTGTGGAATCTCCTCGTACTGTTCCAGTTGTTCCGTTTTCACACTTCTAAAAAATTGATTTATGTGAGTAGAAAGTTCAGCTAACCATGGAATTGACGGCAATTGAATTACGCTTTCCAATGGTGATGTTGTCGTTGTCGTTGCCAACGCGGCCGTTGTTGTCGTTGGTGTTGTTGTTGTTGTTGTTGGGTTGTTGTTGTTGTTGTTGTTGGGGTTGTTGTTGTTGTTGTTGTTGTTGGGGTTGTCGTTGTCGTTGTTGTTGACGACGGAGGGAGGCATTGTTCGGAAACGTTCATGAACATCGAAATTGCATCGATTTCTTGAGTGGCACTGCTCACCTGTAGAAGTGTGCAATAATGTCAGTCCTTGTGGTTCAAGGATAAGTTTATAAAATATTTTCAAGAACATAATCGCGTAAACGCATCCATTCGTACCAGATTACAGCTGGTGTTTTGCATTGTGTAAATGTACAATAAACCTCCGTCCTGGTTCAAGGGAGCAAAGCTTCACAGTCGAGCTAACAGCGAACTGAGACCGAGGCAAAGTTTTAGCTGAATTAATGTTATAACTCACCAGTCTATGTAAAGATTGAACAAACGTGAGCCTACGTTTATACAACTTACTCTAATATTAGAGGATGCTTTTGACGTCCGAAGTTATGGTTAAACATGGCAGATGTCTGCGACGGAACCCCCTGCCAATCCCACCGCCCCCAGCACCGATCCCAATACTCACCACCTAACCGACCCCAAGTCCCAACGAATACAAAAGAAAGAACAAACATGCGCACAACGAGCTTGACAGTATCCCAAGGGGAACGACTATAAAGAAAGGCGCAACACACAGCCGGCGAGCGATAAATTACATGCGGGTTTTCAAGAAAAGCTGAAGAAATGATTCCAGTACAGGGAGAGCCGATGGTGATATTTGCCGGGGAGTTCCTAATAGTGTGTCGTTGTGTTCCTCCACTCTTTCAAACATCCACGAATCGATTGATCAGGAATTTTTCCAGGATTGCATAGTCGGCTGGGGATGACGCTGGGGAAAATGAGACTTCTTTGAATTTACATTGGACTCAAAAATAACTCGATGATTCGGATGTTCTGGGATGCTGGAGATGCTGGACACGTAGAGATAGCCTCGAGTAATTGTCCAGCTTCAATAACTGTCCTCTGATTGCTTCGCTTCCCCATCTTGCTTGGACTAAAATGAAGAACATCCTACAAGTTAGCATTGATATTGCAAAATAATAAAGATGGTCAATAACAATCTGTGAATCTCCTCGTACTGTTCCAGTTGTTCCGTTTTCACACTTCTAAAAAATTGATTTATGTGAGTAGAAAGTTCAGCTAACCATGGAATTGACGGCAAATGAATTACGTTTTCCAACGGTGATGTTGTCGTTGTCGTTGCCAACGCGGCCGTTGTTGTCGTTGGTGTTGTTGTTGTTGTTGTTGGGGTTGTCGTTGTCGTTGTCGTTGTCGGCGGGTAGGGACATATCATAGTGGCGTTTTTGTAAGAGCTTGAGCTGTCCACAATTTGGTTTAGCCATAATTGTACCTTGAAATTCGCCATTGAAATGCTACATGAATGAGCTGACGTTGACGTCACGTCAATTTGACTGAAAAAAAAACTGCATAATGTCGCCTCAGGCCGAACCTTGTTGCAAACACAGTCATAAAGGATGAAAACGTAAGCGAAATTGCCATCGACGTCTGCAGAACTCAGATCATCGAAGTCACCAAGAGCTGCAGAGTATTGCTCGATCTGAAGGAAATTTTAGCACTGAAAATCTGAGGCACATTGAAATGAATATACCAACATCTGTTTGATCGAATTGGTTCATGAATTGTTGTAGTTGACTCGGATTGTATGCATCACTGGTAACTATTGTGATCTTGGCTGTTTCACTTCCTTTTCCAGTGACTGCCGGTTGTGGAACTGGTGGACAGGCCTCCAAAGAAGTTCATTGTCTTATCGGTGAGCTATTGGAATGGTTGAAATGGACATTACACCTGGTCCTCGACGGAGTAAGCAAAGAAGCCCTTTTAGCGTTTCTGCTGGGCCGTATGCTGAATGTTGGGGAGGGGATGGGGTCCCCGAGGTCGACGGACTACTTCAACTCGGTCGGTACGGTAGGAGAGTGATGACGAAGTGGTGCAGCTGGTCCAGCAGCTCCGCCAAAGGGCTGGTTTGCTTACCCCAGGACTAAGCCTTGGAGAGAGGACGGACTGCGCTCTCTCACAGTCCTTCCTCTTTTTAAGGCTTAGTCCTGAGATAAGCATCAAATTGAGGCGCTTCAAAGGCGGGCACTTCATCCCCTCCCCAAGCATTCAGCATACGGCCCCAGTAGAAACGCCTGAAGGGCCAGTTTGCTCACTACGTCCTCGCCAGAGGGCACTTTGAAAACTCACAAGAGTGACCCCAATGAGGGCCAGAGCGAAGAGTAGACGTTCCATGACGGAAGTTGATGCGAGAATGGCTGGCTGGCCACTGTGTTCGCAGCATTTATATTCCATGATCCTCAGATTCGAATTTATTATTGCCAATAATTGCTTTTTTATTCTTCTGCAATCAATTTCTTGCTTGAAACGAAAGATATCACGAAATTTAGGCTTCTAATTTCACTTTCAATTTGAAACTGGGGAGGGGAAGGAAGGAAAAGACAGGAGGGTGCTCTACTGCGTTCTGCATCTTCAAGGCCACTAGTATTTCCATCGCCAAGGAGACGCAACAGGTAATGAACAATTGATCCATTGGAAACGACTTCCCGAGAAAAGCCGTTGCAGTACCATACATTGACTCTATCCTACCCAGGTCCTATCCAATTTTTGACAGTGCACATTCCTACTGGAGCTCCTCTATCTCAATCACTTCCTTAAGGCTTCGCAAAAATGTTTGTAACCAAACTCAGGATAGACTCCTGGCATCATTCAGAGGCAGAGTTTACGATCAGATCGCAGCCCATTAGATTTAAGGAGGAAGTGCTCAATGGTGCCGAGATGAAGAAAAAACCATGAGAAACAGCCCAGGGACGGTAATAAGGTGGCCGCTGCTAGTTATTATGTGACCATGAGCTCGTGGTAACTTGGTGATGGCTTCCAAACGAAGTTACCCTAAAAGATGCGTAGAGCACCTCTGGAACCCCTCCGAAGATTCCCCGTCAGAATAGTCGAAGTGAGTTCGAACTCACTCGGAAGTCGGGGTGATGACATCACGTGGTAGTAAGAGGATTAGCAGCGTGGTCATCCAAAAACTAACAACGATGGCGGCAGAGAAACAAGAAATAGTGCGCGAGGGTGGAGACGCAAACATGCTGCCACTTCATCTCTAAAAAGTCCTCCGGAGGACTTTTAGAAATGGCCAAATCCAAAAAAATATGGAGATCCGAAAGTTGGGGTAGGCGTGTCACCGGAAGTGACGTGCACTTGATAGAAGTTGCGTGGATAAGCTGTTGCCAGCATGCTTTGCTGATATCCAGCGATGTATGTTGGAAGCAGCTTATCCACATAGCTTCTATCAAGTACACGTCACTTCCGGTGACACGCCTACCCCAACTTACGGATCTCGAGTATATGGAATGCTCAGAAACAAAACAAGGCGACTCTTAATGATGCCACATTTTTCAGTGATACCAGATGGAGCCGCTTCTACAGAGAACTATTTCCACTATTTTAGAATTGTAAGTGCGAACATGCATTTGTGCTATATAAGTAAAGTGTTTTCTTCAGTCTCTTTAGCATTACTGATTTCCCAAACCTATATCGCAACTAAAATTTTACCGAAAAGTATTCAGTCTTTCTGACGTCCTTCTCCCTGCAAAGACTCCAACGCAGATTTTTTTTAAAATTTATTATTCATGGCGCACAAGCGATGAATTGCGCTATGTTCACTCACGTAGCTGTTCTGGAGAATTCTACAACTGTTCCACACATGATGGAAGTCATCCCCAGAGCCGAGCCCCCCAGCGTGGGTGCCCCAGCACTTTTCGATATTCACCGCATCTTCTGTTGTAGTCCACTGCTTAACCCATGGCGGCGTTTTTGCGTGAGCAAGCCTGTGTGCCGGCTTGCTTTCTTACCGTCTTTACCGTCTGTGTGAGCTTGTGCTAGTGACGCTGGAAACCATGTTTTTGTACCAAGCTTTCTGAGCTTAAGGCAATTCGAGCAGTTGACGCCCATTTAGCCCTCTTGCTCGAAACTCCACTTAGAGCAGGTTTTCTGAACAAAAAGAAGCTACTCCAGATTGATCTCCGGACACCGGACATCGAGCAACTATTGGATAGGGAATCGACGTTAGGTAGGATCCTGGATAGGGGGCTCTTACCAAGCCTATTAGCATGAGGAAATTGGATATACGTGTTTGTGGTTTAGCAGCACGCTATATCACCGAGAGAGCTCAGACGAGAGCAGAAGCAACGCAGCTTGGCGCGAAAACTGAATTGATCCACTTCGAGAAAACTCCGCGCAAGGAACTTCCTGCTAGTTATTACTTATTTTTATTTATTCTCATTTCTTCTCTTATTTGTGAGTTCTCTGTATTTTGCCGGGTGTTCTTACGGGTATCTTCACAGCGGGATTGCGCGCAACTTCTGGTTATACTTTTCAGGCATCCCCTCGAATCTCTTTGGTCTCTTTTTATCTTCGCAGTTAGCCATGCTTTCTAGGGTGTAGATTTTTTGTCATTAGCTGACTTTCTTACGGGTTTTATGTAATTTGCTCTTACGGGTGTCATCACAGCGGGTTGCACGCAATTTCTAGTCATTCTTTTCAGGGATTCATTTTTCTCCGGTTTCTTCTGTTTCTTTTTTATCTTCGCAGTCAGCAATGCTTTCTGGAGTAACCGTTTTTATTTTCTAGCTAGTTTTCTTACTAGTTTTATGTGTTTTGCGCCTCTGGATGTTCTTTCGAGTATCCTCACAGGGTTTTCTAGTCCTGTTCCCTTAGACTGGTGTCCGAGTCCGCGATCCGTCGCAGCTTTCGCTGATTTTTGCGATTTGCGCGTTTAGCGATTTGCGCGAAACCTGCGACGGATCGCAGGAGTTGGAAGTGCCCGATGAATACTGCGAGGTGCCGTTTATCCTGCGAATTCTGCTTGACAGTAAAGATTGAAATAAGACTGTCCGTGATTCTACCCTATAACGTGAAAAAAGTGGGTGGGGAGGAAGGGTTGATGGGGCACTTTCAATTCCTGTGATCCGTCGCAGGCTTCGCGCGGATCGCAAAAATTGCAAGTGCCCCATTTGAACATTTGAAACACTGAATATGAAACAAGTGGAATCATGAGCAGTCGTCATTCAGCCATCACTATCAAGCAGAAGTGGCGGCGGGATTGGAGACACCTTGCAGTATTGATCGGGCACTTGTGATTTCCTTTCCGTGACCTGTCGCGTGAATCGCGAAAATCGCGCAACTCGTGCAAATCGCTAAAATCGCTCAAATAGGACAAATCGCTAATGTATCATAGAACTTGTCGTGTCTGACTGTTTTTGAAATACTATTGTTATTGTTGAAGTGTGGTGAATAATAGGAAGAAATTTTACGTGAAGATGGTTTTATTGGGGACGTTGTAAATTTGCAATCAGTAAAGCTATTCCGGTCCTGGAAACATATGTTATTCTCCAAGGTTGTAAGTGTACAATGGTATATCTGTATTATTTGAAATGCTGCAAAAAAGAAAAAGAAATCATTTTAAAGGTCGTGCGCTACCATGTGGCGCACGCAGTCCGTTATGGGTTAGAAACGAGCAGGCGTTCACTCCAGCACTTTCAACTCTGACCCTGTTTTAGTGGCTAGCTTACTTTCACCGCTTGTTGGCTAAACCCACTTGTAAGGTTTATCAGGATACCGGATCTTAATATGTCATCCGATTCTGCTACCATTCGTCGACGTGAGAATGACGTAGGACAAATGGCGCTATGAAACCATTCCGCCCTTCCCTGGCATTAATTCGGCCATTCTGTTTCTCATTTCTATGCTTGTGCACCTCTATAACGCATAAAATCGTTTCCGAACACCTAAGACGAATATTAACAACAATGAATGTTAATTTAAGAGGGTATAAAGTTGACGAATACAGCGGAAAAATGGTCATAAAGCTCGGCATCTGAACAGATGAGGCATCATGACGTGAATCGCATTTCCTGAATATGGATTGCAATGGCCGGCGATCCTTCAGTGAGCCGAACGAATACTGTAGCTCGCGCATTTGGTAGCCATTTTCCGGCTATACAACTACGGATTGCGGTATCTCTTATATCTTCCTTCGAATGCATTTCCAACAGAATGGCTTAGAACTACTGTCCAGACTGTCAGACAGGGGTGACTGTACGTTGTTTAGCTTTTGGAAACTTTCCTGGCTCCTTCTACCCTCAACTGCAGCAACTTCCCCTCCCCTGTCTTTCCACCAACACGACCGTCTGTGAAAATTCCAAACTTCTTATATTTTGTTTCAACTGTTTTTTAAGTGATGTAGAACTTCTATGGTGAGACTAGATCTTCATGTGTATGCAGAGGCTATGTATGGAGAGGCTTCTAGTGTCTGGAGGAATCGTTGCCCGGGTGAGAAAAGGTCTTGCAAAACTCTTCCATGTTCGTTCAGCCGCTTATGGAAGGGTATTTTTGCTCGCATTTTGAGCAAAATTCCATGACATTCTGGCAACTAAGCGGCACCCTTCAGCTGACATATCTCATCCTCGTTGCAGCTGGCAACTGTGTCTTCCCAAAACTGCAGTACTTCACTAGGTGTTGGGATAAATCGAGGGCGAACCTGTGAGCACGTCAGTAGAATCAAGCTACCATGGTAGTGGGTTGCGGCTGTCACTTGTAAGTTAGTAGCCAGCTACTTTTTTGTTCGTCCTGGCTGCAAATCCAACAGCAGCTCGCCATGAAGCACATTTCCAACGGCCCGATGGTATAAACCATTAGGTACCGTACAAACAAGGGGAGTCTTTCAGGGCAGGCGACCCTTTTTTCGAAACGGTTTCTTGCATATCGTATAATAAACCAGATTGGTCCCCCGGCAAGCGCCGGAACCTCCCTACCTTGCGTAAGCTTTCCCTTCTCCCTCCTCTCCTTACTCTCCCCTCGTTCCCCTCTGCTCGCCGGCTACCACAGCATCACCTTGTCGAATGACCGAAAGTGTGCTAAGTGCGTGTTTATATAGCCGTTGGGGATGCTATCACAATCATGCCATTGCAAAACACTAATAGCTAAAGTCCTGTGAGCTACATGATTCTGTTCTTGGTTTGTTTATCCCAT